TTTATATAAAATACAATTATAAGATAGAGATAATAAATATAATAGTGAAAGTAAATATAACTATGAAAATAAATATATTAAATAAAATAATGATAAACATGATAATAAAGAAAATTAATATCACAACGATAACCGTGATAGCAGTGAAATCGGTGAAAATGATGATCACAATTTTCCTGGTGATCATTAGTGACGTTAGTTAGCGCAGTCATTTAGTTGTGCAAACGGATTATCACTAACACTGGTTATTAACTGGTTAAAGAATTTTCGGCCAGTTTCAACCTCTACTTTTAAATATTTATACTATTTGAATATGCTATTTTTCAACACTTGTATTATTTATTATTATAAGAAAGCGTATAGTATTAGTTTAGAATTTTATAAATAGACATGAAAGTTGGCCTTAAGTTGACAAAGTTTTCTCAGATAGTGTTCTGTATAAGTCTTGGGACTAGACTTATGACTCTACAGATTAATAAAGATATTATTTTATTTTTTCAACCTTCTTCTTGTCTTCATACAAGGATCTGTTCGTGATAACTAACTATATAAATAAATCGTGATAATAATTGCTTTAGTTGTTAATCGTTTAATTTCTCTTAGGAAAGGCTTTCGAGATAAGGTATTCAGTTCATTAGCTTGGTTTTGATACAATTCCAGGCCTAACACCGTATTATTTGTCCTTAATAAAATCTAAAAATTTCCATTGTCTAAGAAAAATAAAACTTTTTATATACTTAGTCAAGTAATATTTATTATTATAACTATAATTATTATAATTATTAAAAAATTGTAATTCCAACCAAGTGAATTATAACCACCAATTATAGTTTCGTCCTTTTTAGTTATAATTATTAAATACAGTATATGCTCACTGTCTACAACAATTGCTACTTTATTGTATACATCATGGCCATCCATTATTCAACGGCAAATTTTCCATGATGAAAAGACAATTTCTGATTAGGTTTAGTATTTTCCATATAAATGATATCATCTATTCGAAGAGTGCTTCATGTACCATTTTCCTTAAAGACAAAATATACTATAAATATCTTTTATAAAAATCGAATATGTGCGAAAAGAAATGGATTCAAAGTACTTTTTAACCTTTTCACTCTAATTACTTCAATTAATTACATCTCCATAGTCCGATCTCATTTGATAAGACAATTCCACGATTTAGTTTTATCAATTTTCAAATCTTCTCTTTTAACAAATTCATATACTTTCTTCCAATGTTGGAAATTTCGGATAATTAAAAAAAGTCGCAAATTGTTACTTGATTTTTAATCAGATACTCTTGTATAGAAGTAAACAATTCATCAAGAGGTAAAATCCTCGTACAATAAGATCAAGGATATCAAAGTCTTGCTCGTTCAATTCTAGTATACCAGAATAAATATACCCTCAATTCAAATAATGAGAAGTTTAGTAAAGCGATCGTATTGATTTTCATAATTTTTAAATCCAGGAATAATTTGAAATTCAATTCTGCGAAGTGCACTTTTAAATAAGGTGGATCGACTTCAAGAAAACTGAATGTGCACGAAATTCAATAATATTTGAATTTAGCTTTGATAATGACAATCATAATCGTCTGTATCATCAAGCAGTTGAGAGAATTTTGAAAAAAATTCAAGCGACATTTCAATTTAAGAGAACAACAATTTATTAGCCCGGATAGCTTGTTATGTTACAATCATATCTGTCACATGACATAATTAGTAAGATATTTTACAAAATTATTACTCCATTTGAATTTAAATTGATATTGTTAGATTGGTAAACTCAAATCTATATCAATAGATCTTAGATTCATCCTAATCATTTTATATAATAACGTATCTGATTGATAAATATACTTTATAAAATAATAAAAATATTATAAAAAATGAAAGAAAGGTCATTGCCTCATTCAAAGTTTCATAGCACATTAGTTGATAATTAAGTTCTACATTAAGAACAAATCGAGTAAATACTTGTTATTCCATACGTAGTGAAGGATAACTAGGTTATCGCGGGTTATATATAAAAGTCACATGCGCGTAAGCGCATGCGATTTTCATATTAACTCTGAATAACCTAAGTTATCCTTCACTACGTATGGAATAACAGGCTTATCTCATTGTGTATGACGTATACACCGGTAGAATTTTTATTAATTAAATATATCTCTTTCTCAATTTCACTCCTTTTTTTCCCTTTTACAAAATTAACATCTTTATATCATAATGGATGGATTCTATTCCTACAAATTAGGAAATTTTTTCAGCTTCAACAACTTTAAAGAATAAAAATACAGACAAGTGTACCTTAAAGTGGCTTTGTATGGTAGATAAATTTAATAAAGAGGCTAATTTAACAAAAATATTAATGATATGATATTTGAAAAGAACTGGAAGAATTTTTATGCAATTTTATTACATGGCTTAAGAAATTAAATGGTCAAAACTACAAGGCGGAATCTGTATATAATTAGCAAGATATTTAATTCAGTCACGGATGTGCATTTTCATATTCATTACTAATTTATATTATTTACTAATCGTATAAAATTAATATAATATATATTGCTTTAATATAAATTTATTACCCCGTGTAGTAAGTAACAAAAAATTCTACCGGTGTATACATAATACCGGGATAAACATTGGTATTTAACCGTATAAGTATTTATATACACTGGATTTTATAAATTTTACTTATTAACAAAAAAAAAGTTTACGAATTTTCAAGAAAATTTTTAGAACATGCATGAAAACCTTTTTCATTTTGAAGTATAAGCAACAATTTTTTTATGTTTTTTTTTGCATTTTTATATATCAATTGTGTTATCTATTACTTTAAAAATGAGTATTTTTCGGCATTTTATAAATAGAATATTTTTTGAATTATATTTTTAAAATTATAATTGATTGGTTATTAAATAAAAAATTTAGTGCATTTTATTAGAAATTCGTAAACTTTTATGCAATCTAAAAATTTCAATTTTACTATATATTACTAAGTAAAATTTATAAAATCCGGTAATTTATTGTAGGGTAGTGCATGTACTAGATAGAGCGGAACAAGATATTTATAAACGTGTTATTTTTGTTGAAGAAGAATTGTCTTTATCTATCTGTCCCGAACCAATTAATTAGTGGAAATTGCAATTCCACACATCTGCATAAGTTATGAAAATAATTTACATGACACAATAATGGCAATGCTATTTTATACCTAAAAAGTCTACAAAAATTTTCAAAAATAATAATCAATGACACAAATGATTTAATTAAGATAGCCAAAACTTCATTTATTACGCTTTGCCAAAATTTTTAAACTTCATTTCACTATAACAAAAAGAATAATCTTAATAAAATCTAAAAATCTCCATTTCCTCAATAGTAAAACTATTTAAATCTAAAATATTACTTGCATATTGAGATTGATTGCATGTGCCAACATTGTTATTGATAACCAAATCACTATTGCCAAAATTAAGTGCAGTATTTTGATAATGCGATTCGTACATCGCATAACTACTATTTTTAACTCGACTAATCTTATAATTTTTTAAATCCTTTCCATCACCTAAAGAAAAAATAAAACTTTCGGTAGTATTAGCCCAGTAATAACTATTACCATAGTTATAATTATTACCTTTGTTTGTCCATCCAAGAGGATTATAACCGCCAATTATGGTTGCATTTTCTTTAGTTTTAATAATCAAAATACATGCTCCCTGACCATCACATTTCATACGCATAGTATTGAAATCAGAACCATCTCTACTTTTACGAAAAATAAGATCAAGGTTATATTGACCCTTTGAAATTCTCGCATTAGAATCTTTTCTTTGAATCCAATTAACAAGAACAGCCGCATGATTGGGTTTAATGATCATTGAATCAACAGGAATCTTTTTATAACGAGGAACCAATTTATTTTGCTTAGGTTCAGTATTTGACATATGAAATGAAACAATTTCTTCAAAGAGTGCTTGAGGCAAGACTTTCTTAAAAGGCCAAATCTTATTATGAAAATCTTTTGAAGAAATTTCGAAGAATCGGATATGTGTGATAAATTGATTCAGAGTATTCTTCAAAGCCAAGAAATCCTTTTTATTCCAATTATCTAACTTAGTAATGCTCTTCTCCTTCAATTCTGAAGTTTGAGCAAATCCCCATTTAATAAGATGATTCCATATTTCTATTTCATCTGTTTGTAGATCTTCTCTTTTAAGCAATCCAAGTAGAATACTTTTTTCTAATGTCGGAAAATTTTGTGAATTAAAAAAAGGTTCAGGGTCATCACAAATGGTTTCTAAACAATAATTTTGAAGTTGTTTACAGCTCTCTATTTGAAATACTGTGTGAAGAACCTTGACGAAATTTTGTTGCAACCATTTGGCTTGATTGTCAATCAAATATTTTTGTACAAATGTAACCAACTCTTCAATAAGCAATTCATCGGACGCTACAAGAAGATCAAGGACGTCTGAACCAACTTGTTTTCTCAAATCAAGAACGCCAGCATACATAAACCTAAATTAAAAAGAGTAGAATCTAATTGTAAATTCGATGATTTCAAATCAAAATTTAATTAAAAAGAAAATTATTTACCTAATGATCATTTCAAAGACAGTAGGAGAAATGTTTGGTTTAGCAAAGTTGATCATGTTATTTTTCTTTGTTACCCAATTCTGTGAAAGAGCTCTTTTAAAATAAGGAGAACGAGCTCTCAAGATATTTGAATGTGCGTTAAATTCTTTTGTATTGGAATTCTCTCCAACTTTGATAATAATATTATAGTCATCTGCGTCCTCAAGCAATTGAGAAAAGTTTTGAGATAATCCGGAGAAAAATTCAGAAGCCATTTTTAATTATTTTTTTTTTTCGTGTGAAATCATTCGACTTAAATAATTTAAATCTAAATAAACGTTTATGTAACACAATTGATTTTGGTAAGATCATTATTTTACAGTTTCACATGAAAGAAATAGCAAAGTTTGGAATTCATGTGAATCTATTAGATAATTTCACAAATGACACAGAAATCATTTATTACATAACATTTGAAATTCAATCAAAATTACGTAAATAAATAATATTTAAATGAAATGCAACACAGTAAAAAGAACCAATATTTACATTAAGGGCAATACCCTTCCTTTCTTTTTGTTGATGGATTACGAATTAGTTCATGTTTAATAATCAATTGTTTTACGTAAATTTGTTAAATTATAATTGTTTGACAACCTATAGATTTCATTCTTTTGTTGCGAAGTAGGGTTAGTGAAAACAGCATGGTACATGGGGGTGAGAGAATTTAATGAGATGAGATTGATCAATTTAATTAGGTAAATAAAAGATTAGGCAACAACTCTAGAATTTTTAATTTCTTAACAATATTTAGTACTCTTTATAAAGATATCAAAATTTCACTAGAATATGTATAGCTTTTAGCCAGCCGTGCAAGCGCAAATGGTAATAATGTAAACTTAATCAAATTTATTTTTGTGGTTGAAATCAGTGAATTTTAATTAAATAAATTAAAAGGATATTTGCTTTGTGTAATTCGCCATTTTACTATAATTATTTAATTTGTCCTTTCATAAATCGTTATTGTTGCAAGGAGATGGAAAATATTATTCGTAAAATATTTACTAGGTCATTATGCGCATGATATTATACTTCTTTAATCAAATTCCCTGCCTGATAATTAATAGTTTTCTTCTATCCTGTAAAGATTTAGGGACTGTATTGTCGGATAATTGTTTTGTTTTTTTACGGCATTGTTGATATTTGGACATGAAGTGTCGAATAAATCACCATTATTTCTTGCTTTTGAGGTGCGATCTAGAATTAATTCGGTTAGCAGTTTTGCTAGTTTAAATAAAATTATTTACTATAGATTAATGAATTGAGTTTAAAAGTATACAACTGGTAGATCCTTCATAATGAAAAACTTCCCAGTCGGATGATCATCGCATTCTTCATGAAATAAAAAAATAATAATTTTACTTGATATGTAAGTCGATGAATATTGTAACTCTTTATTATAATTATCACGAAGGATAATGTCACTGCAATCAGATTTTTGTGCATCAATCCGAAGAAAAGAAAATACATCTTTTTTTGGTGCCACGCGCTACTAAATTGGCGACATTACATTACATTATTAATTTTGTAAATATATTTCATGAAGTTTAAATGATGCTGATGACAATGATCATCTTCCGTTTGGTTATTTAAGGTTAAAATCAGTTGTATTGCGATTTCCTCTAGACACTTTCCTCATAACTATAGCACTGTAATAATGAATATATGAAGAGATAATGATTCGAAAAAATTTTTCGTCTCCACGGGTGAGGATCTTTGTGATTCCCCAAAATCTTTAATTTTATTATTATTATTAATTATCACAGCATTCATTCCTTCTATAAAATAAATTGGTTTTCACGTTCATAATAATTTAATTTTTATGTAATTTATTGTAATTAATTTTAGCTTTATAAACTTGATAACCAAATAAGATGTGACAAAGAAATTAAAATATGTTCAAATTAAAATCATAAACACCTTTAATGATATTTTAAACTTGAGGCTACAACAAAATAAGTTTGATAGAAATACTTTTGCAATGAAAGTGGGGAAACTGCCTGAAAAACATAATTTACCGTAAACCTTTTTATTTCGCCCTTCCACTTATAAAGCGCTACATGTTGTATCTTTCTACCTATTTCAGTTACGTAAGAATAGACATATTTACGTCGTTGAAAAAAAAATTATTCTGTTCTTTTAAATATTAAGTGCAATGATTGTAGTCCCGTAAGTGTAGAACTAGAATGATCAAGATGTAATTTATCTTGATGAATACTATCTGTAGGAGAAGACACCTCATATTTTCTTACTATATAGAGAGAGAAAAAAAATTAATAATTTCAAAAAGAAATATACGTGCATAGAGAATATCTTAATTATTTATAAACAAAAGATGTTATAGACGACTTACGTAAAGCACACAACATCACTCTTTGTTCAATAAGTGAAAAGTTGTTCCCCAAACAACTATTTAATAATAATGATGAAATAAATTAGTTATTCGACGGAAATCAAAAAAAAAGTCCTCGAGACTTACGTTCTGGTACCACTGCCAAAAGGTAACCAAGTATATTGTTCGCGTTTTTCATCATTATCATTCTCAAATCTTTCAGGATTAAATTCTTCAGGATCTTTCCAATTATTTGGAGAATGATGGATTCCATAAATATTTATTAAGATAGGTGTTTTCGGTAAAAATACATGATTTCGAAATTTAATAGTCTCCGAATTTTCTCTTCTTGGTAATTGATGAACCTTCAAAAAAAAAATATATACTTTTTTTAATAAAATAAATTTGGTCTCTGTCTCAAATTTTGAACAATACATACCGGTGGATATAATCTTAAGTTTTCCTTTATAACCATGTTCAAATATTTTAATTCTCTTTGCTGATCTATGGTCGGAATTAAAGAATCGCCAAGGACGCGTAATATTTCATCACGAGCTTTACTTTGCACATCCTTATTCAATAAAGGAAAGGTCCAAGTTAAATAAAAACAAAAGTTAGCTAAAATACAAAAAACTTAAGTACCTTGTGGGTGGCTAAGACATATAATATGGTTGTCAAAGCAGTAGCGGCTAATTTCATTATTATAAAGAAAAAAAAATAAAGGTTATAAGTTTAGAATATGATAAATAAAGTTAGAACATTATTAAAAGTTCTTCCTTACTAGTATCATGACCAGCTAACATAAACATTGCAAGATTATACTATAAATCAAGATTACCAAATAAATAAATTGTCAAAAATTAAATCTTGATTTAGAAAGGTTTTATAATAAATTATAATTCTTACTCGCATTTCTTCGTCTGACATGGGATATTTTGGATCACTAGAAGCGTGTATCATACATTCTAACAAATCAGCGGTATTATTGTTTATTTTTTTACTCAATTCTTCCGTTTCCATTGATTTACGTTTCGTTTCAATAAGTCCATCATATAATTCATTAATCTTTGCAACTTTTTTACGCGCTTCAGTACGATCAAAATACGGGAGATATTCAATAAATGGAATAATAAAATATATAGGCTTATCACATTCGGCTGTCACTTCTTGATAAGTAGTAACATAAACGTTTGTTGGATCTTCAAGATTCTATTTAATATTAATAATTATTAATCGAAAATTTTTCTCGCTCTTTTTTTTTAAAAAAAAAAAAATAAAAAAAAAAAAATAAAAAATCATTTTACATTAAAATCAAATCCAAAAGCAACTCTTCCAAGAACGTCCAAGGTAAGTCTGCAAAATATAAGTATATGAATTAAAAAATATTCTTTCCAATCACGAAAAAATAACTCGAGATTTATTTACCTATGCATTAGATCTTGAACTTCTAAGGGTCCATTATCAACTTTTTCAATGACTTTCAACAATTTCACAGCAGTTTCATCAAATACGTGCATGGGTAAACTTTTAAACGCAGGACTTGTAATATGGCTAAGAAATAAAGGGAAATAAATTACTGCTGAAATCGATTTACGATGAGAAGTGATACCATACCGATGACGTTTCCAAACCTATATACAAATAAGGCAATCGAATTTCAATTAAAGATTATATTATTACCCAGAGAAATTTAAAAATACACTTACATCTCCGTTGGAAAAGACTACGTTCGTACCGTAGTAATTAGCCGTTAAAGATCCGGGGATTGATTCATCGAGCGATGTTTTAGGATACAAATCTAATTCAAATTATAATGTTATGGCAAAAAGGAATTAAACCACAAAAAAAAAAAAAAAAATATATAAATAAAAAATAAAAAAGGAAAATTAAAAAAAAAATTATAACCTGTCTTTGAAAATACATCTTTTGTAAGTTCCAAATCGGTTGTAATGATATGCCATACTCCATTGAACCAGAGCTATAATTTTTTTTTTATTTTTAGATAAATTTCTTAGAATAATAATAAAACGTCAGAAAAATGATAATTTAAGTTACTTTTCCAATGCCTTCTTTTTCCAAAACCTTACGTGTAATTTCCCAACGTTTGTCAGGACCCCCATTAGAAAAAATAGCTGAAACCAATTTCAAGAAACTTAATGTCGGTACATTTTTAATTCCTTCGGGTACTCTGAATTTTGGATAAACTTTATAAGCTATAAAAGATATAAAAACCAAAATGAATGTAAAAAACATTTTATTTGAACAAAAGTTTTTTATTTAAAATGTGAGAACCCGCCCGTTTTAAATTATATCAAAAAGTCTTAAAAGATGGGATAAATATTTATGTTACACAAAACGGAAATGTGCTACAAAAGGATAGATCTTGCTTTTTTCATGAAGAGAATTGTTTATTTCCGAATGTTTATTCTAAAAAAAGAATGATTATCGAGGGCTGAAACTAATTTAAAATAATTCAATTAATCTTAAAGACGAATCAAATAAAACCCTGAAAAACTTGTAAGTTAGAACGAAGAAAAGGAAAGCCGAAGATAAAAATCAACTACTACACTCCTTTTTATTGAATGAATTAGGTAGTAAGGATTTAGAAAAGTTAAGTGAATCATTAATTGATTTAGCACGAGCAAAAAGGCGAAAGAGCCAAGGAAAAAAGATTAGAAATTTAGAAAAAAAAGATTAGAGAACGATAAGTAACAACAAAAGCCAAGCTTAACGATTGGTTTAGAAATCTTAAATCATCAGTACAGATGATAATAAGGATGACATATTAAACAGCTTTGGAGAATTGTAAAGATATCGTACAATAAAGAAACTCATTTGTTATAAAACTCACATAACTAGATTACCAATTTTACCTACCTCTTTAAAAGAACTCTATTGTAATGAAACTAAAATAACTCACCTACCAATTTTACCCAGCTACTTAACGGGACTCTATCGTCATAAAACTCAAATGACCTATCTACCAATTATTAACTTACCAACTTTACCAAACTCTCTGAAAATATCAGCTTTACCAAACTCCTTATCGGAACTCTGTTGCTATAATACTCAAATAATCCAATTCAATAAATCTATTAATTATATTAAATTATCGACGTATTCTAATGAAGTTGTATTATTGCCCAATATTTTCATTTTCGCAAATTACATGTATAGTACAAGTAATATAATCATCGTAGATAATGCTAAGCACTAATAAATGATATACGATTTATATCTTTGATCTATAAGAAGATTTAGATTAAGCAACGTTACATATTCCATGAGAGAATTTAATAATATATGTTTAGTTCTTTTTTCAAATTCTAAATTAACCATTAATAATTCTCTTCTCTCGAATTAATTCTGTTGTGATAATATAAATTACTTTTTATAAAAATTTGAAGCCGCTAATCCTGTTTTACTATTCTATCCTATGCATTTTCATCCGATATCCGTCATTAGAATTATTTTAATAAATATTTGAACAATTGATGAGAGTTAAATCATAAACTAACTGAAATATCTTATTTCCTTAATAATTTTGTATCATGCAAATTTCCTAGAGCTCAACTATCGTAAGTGCAATATTTATAATATATTTATGAAACTAAATAATAAAATATGCAGTTGTAATATCTTCGCATTTATATTCAATAATATAAAATATTAGAAAGCAATTCAAAATTTAATATTAAATATATAATATACTTGGGCAGATATGTACCCTAATAAGATTGAAAGAACTATGGGAAGCTCTTCAGAAGGGTTTGGAAGTATAATTTTTTAATAAACCATTTGAATTGGAAGCTTCCAATCAAATTTTATACCATAAAATGCACACGGGTATGTCAGATAGTTTAATATCCAGACATTTTCATATGATTATTTATATCCCATTGTAAATTTAATCTCCAGGTATGCACGGTAAAAAAACTATTAAAGGATATTATTATTTAAAATAATTTAAAAAATTTATGATCTTACAAATAAAATTAAAAGTTAATTAATTATGGAGCGTAATTAATTACATTAATTATGGAAATTAGTCCAGGCAAAAAAAAGTTTCTAGATTCTCGTAACCCGGCCGCCTCAGTTTTACCAAAATTCACGGTTATTTTTTTTTTTATAGTAAAAATATATTATCACGCACATAGCTGGTACATTGATTTAAAATTTTAATTTATTTATGTAATACTAAATATAATCTAATAAATAAAAACTGATGACCTTGTCAAATTTAAAATTTTATCTAAACTATTGGAGTATATTAGGATCATAAAATGAAGAAAAGAATCTTGCAATGAAATTTGTTATTTGAAATTAAAACAATACATTAGACGCATATAAAATGATACTGAAAAATAATTAAAAGACAGAAGAATTCTTTAATATTTAACGCTATATAAAGATACAGGTATGAGCTCCATTAAAGAATTGGGTAAATTTGGTAATCTACTTATTTGTGTATCAAAACACCAGAGCTTTTTTAAGGGTTTGGTAAAGTCGGTAAGCTATTTATTTGAGTATTACTACAATCGAATTGCGTCTAGAAGTCAGATAAGGTTATTAAGCTATTTATTTGAGTTTCATAGCAATAGGGTTCCATTAAAGAGTCGGGTAAGGTTAGTAAGCTATTTATTTGCATATTACTACAAATGAGTACTTTTAGTTTCCGATATCCTTGCAATCCTCCTAAGGCGTTTAATATATCTTTGTTAAGATCCGTTATCGTTAAACTTTCAATAGTATCATCATAATCGATGGCTGAAGTTTCTTTATTCAATTCTAATTTGATTAAAATTTTAATCAATCGAGATAAGTCCCCATGAAATGAAATATTAATAATAAAATTGATTTTTTGTTCTGATGACTGAAGGTTTGATTCTTTATTATTAATTTGATCATACTCACTTTTGTAATAATTGCATTTAATTCATCAACTACTTTGTACATAGATGGCCGATTATCTGGCTCGCTGTCCTAAAACCATAAAAATGATTAGTGATCGTTATATTTAAATTTAATTTTATAATTTTATAATTTATAATCTTTACCAGTATAAATATTTACATAATCTTCAGGCGTACCCAGAATGATACTTTCTCTGAGTCCTTGTGAAATATCAATAGCTAAATCAATATTGTATGGTTCACCTTCAATATGAAAAAGAAGGTTGACCACTTGATATCTCCCATAACAACATGCCAATACTATAAACATCACTTTCTCAGTTAAATTATCTTATTATGGCAATTCTATTTTGTCTACCAAATCTTTTTAGACTAACATAAGGAATTACATCAAAGACTTTTGACTGTTATTTAGATGCTGTTTTAATCCTTTTCGATAATCCAAAATAAGCAAATTTTATAATACCATAATGAATTAAAATAATGTCAGAATGCTATAATAAAATTTATAAAATTTATTATTAATTATTATCATAAATAAATAAAGATATAGATAATATGTAAGGTTACCAAATCATGATGTACAATTTCTTCTTTATGAATACACGACACAGCACTAGCCAACTGGAATATAAATTTGTATTTTATCATTCTAAGTAAGCATATTAATATTATTTTTCAAATAGGTTCTAAGTAATCCGCTATAAGCATATTCCATTACGAACCAATACTTTTTCAATTGATCATTTTTATTTTCTGAAAAAATTATAAATGAGTTAAAATTAAAAATAAAAATGTCAATATATATATCTTTAATAAACTTTATTACAAACATTACATACTTTGTTCTGAAGTTATCCCACAAAAGTGAATAATATTATCATGAAAATCAACTTCGCTTTAAAGTTCAAGCTAAAAAATTAATTTTAGTTTGATATATAAATGATTTACAGTATATTAAAAAGACTGAAATGGATGAAATACATTTTAACATTTGTAATTACCTTACAAACTATTACTTTAACAGTATTATTATTAAGGTTATTAAAGGATTTTAATATGAGAGGCTGTCTTAAACTATTCTAATTTGCATGATAGACTTTTTAAAAGCTGCCAGTACTGATCTTTTAAACATTGCTAAAATTTTTGTATTGATAACATTTGATTTTATTTCTTAAAATATATTTCTCTATCAAATTAATCCACTCATTTGAATTATTGTCTTCTTGCATTTTGATTTTGTAAAATGATAAAATCCTTGGTGAAAAAAGTAAAAAAAAAAATTGCACTTAGTAAATCATGTAACATTAATAATAACTAGTATAATAGTAAATTTCTAAATAAATAATTTTCATATAAACATTATTTTTTCTTTATTATAGTGAAGAATATTTTATTAGTTTCATAAATTTGAGGTTTAAACGAAAAGTCAACCCATTTCATTTGTTGAACATATATAGAGGTTTGCTATTAAAATTGAGTTACAAATATAATATATATAGAGGTGTTTAAAATTTTATTTGAGTCTTTTGAGTCATTTTGTTTCAGATTTAAAAAGAATTGTAATTCACATATTTACTGTTAATTTATTACAAAATCAATTTTTAAAATTATTAAAAATAAAAAAAATTATTTAAGCCTAATTTATTATTATGTATATTCTTATATATATACAGTCACCGGCGAAAGTAATGGCACTACAAGTGCTGCTTGTTTTTGAGTCGTAGCATGTTCATTTTTCACTCTAGAATTTTTCAGTATTTCTAGAGTGTTATTTATAAATAATATTTAATAAACAAACAAAAAAAAGTTGTAGAAAAAAATGAATTTCTTCATATTTTTCATTTAAAATAGTATTAACCACCCTTAAAAGAAACCAAAATGCTGTTAACCTTCTTTGGCAGCAAAAAATCTGAAATGCAAGAGAAATTTCATAAAGAACAGATGTTCTCTTATGCTCCTGTTATCGTTATGTTAGTTTATTAAAGAAAATTGGTAAGATTACTATAGGTTATTAGTCTGGTCGACTACGAAAATTGACTCCTAAAAACGTCGCCAAATTGGAATAATCGTCAAGCATAATCATTTCACTACAGTAAGTGAAATAAAGGCCCAACTTAAAAAAAAAAATCCAGAGCTTGAAGTTAGTGAATGGACCATTCGTCATGAGCTAAAAAATCTTGGATTTGTATCTATTCATCTCAGAAAAGTTCCTCTTTTGATACAGAAAGCAAAAGAGAACTAGTTGTTTTGGGCCTGTGATCACGTGAATTATAATTGGAAAAAGGTAGTATTTTCTGATGAAACTACATTTCAAATGTTCTGTAATACCCTTCCAGCATAGTCACGTGACAAAAAACCTATTGCTCTGATGGTAAAACACCCATTTAAAGTTCATGTTTGGGATGCAATCAACGATAAAGGAAAAATTGATATATATATGTTTACTGAAAATTTGGATCATCATTTATACCGTCAAATTTTGAATGAACATTTATATGATAATGCAAGTGCAATACATGGTAACCGATGGGTTTTTCAGCAAGATAATGATCCAAAACATACTTCCCGTGATATTCAAAGTAACTTGAAAACTCACCTTCTAGGTCAGATTCTTTCTTGACCTTTCTATAGCCCTGACCTTAATCCTATTGAGAATTTTGGGCTATTTTAAAGAAAAATGTTGAGAAAGAGGTCAAGAGAATGGTGGCACAAAGGAAAAAAATCTTGAAAGAAATTTTTTAAATTTAATTAGGAAGGAATGGGATGATATTAAAAACATCGCAATAGTTAACTGCATTAATAGTATGTTAAATCGCATTAAAGCATGTATTAACGCAGAAGGAGGCCATACCAAATATTAATTAATTAATAAAATATATGTAATTTGGTCAGTCTTTCAGAAAATAAAATTTTTTTTTGATTTTTTATTATAAAATTGCGCACAAATTATTAAAAAACTGTGTGCCATTACTTTCGCCGGGGTCTGTATATATTTTTTATTGATAACTCAAAATAAATTAAAAAATAAATAATTTTTAAATTTATATTATAAAAAGCTACCTAGTTTCTTTTCTTTTAATGTATCATCCAAATTTTTCAGCTTATACTTATATCAAATTCTTTTATCAATGCTTCTATTGATACTTCTTATATTGGAATATTTGTAGATAAATTTGAAGATTCCTAGATTTTATAAATTAATCATTGAAAATTGTAATTTTGGCCGAACATTATAATTCAAGTAAACTTCGGCTGGAATAATACAGAAATAAAATGAGATTTAAATTCTAGAGTTTGTTAGGAATTGTGAGTAAGCATTTTTTAAATTAAAACGATTTTAACACAGAACCCCTCCAACCAATAATGAAATCTTTTGATTCATATTTATTATGATAGATGAACTTTATTTGGTTAAATTTTTATAGACTATTACAAAGCAAATAATTAGACCATTTTTGAGTAATATCGTCAAAAAATCAAAATTTGAAAAATGATCGACATTCCTGTATTAAAATATGGCTAGTCCCCCAAATTTCACGTGATCACGTGATACCGCGATCAAAATTTTTTAAATTTTTTATCTCGCTTTATTAGTTTAAATTGTTATAATAAATCACATACAAATTAAACAAATTGCTTTTATTTATAATAATAAAGTGTATTATTACTACTAGTGTATTTTATTGTCATACTTGATATCTTGATATCACGCTTTAAATCTAAAATGTAACAATAAACAAAACCATTTATTAAGATGCATGTATATACGTGAAACTAAAAAAAAACCAGAAATATTATACCTTGCAGTTTTTTTGGTAATGACCGACATTTCCACATTTTTTGCATTTGCGTTGGTTTTTTGTTTTAGGAGCCTCATGAACCGATTTAAATCTTTTAGTGCCAGGTGGCCGACCCTTACCACGTCGTTTTTTTGATTTTGCAATAATGGTACCGATGGGTCATTCTCCTTATCACTAGTATCATTTTCTTGTTGATTTCATCCTCTAAATCTGAATGTTCATCATCTATATCCTCGTCAGTATCTTCATTTTCAATAAATTCTTGAAGCAAGTTGATAAGTTGTTGTGATTTGGAATTTGTTTGCAATGCCTTTGAAAGAGCTTTCTTATTTGTGCCATGCAATTTCCCATAAACAATTTTCTGTTCAAAAATTGTTAGTCTTTCTTCACGAAAATCTTTGTTGTCTTGATTAAATAAGCTCACGTATGGTACTGTATGACAATCATATGTAATATTTGGCTTCTCCTGCATAAACTTATCGGCTGTTAAAAATGGCTTTTTGAGCCATTTTCTTTTGTACAATACCATCGTGAAGGAATAAGTCTAATATGAAATACTTCGTTACTTGTAGTTAGAATTACCTGAAAAAAATGTCTGCAAATTATATCATTTCGTACAATTGAAAGACAAGAATATATATGTCCATAATTTTGTAATAAAATGACATAATGCTTGACTTTTAATGAATTTCCAACACTATCTGCCCATATTTCTTTAATATTGTGAATTCCAACAAATTTAATTAATTGTCTTAATGTTGCTTGCGTAATATCAATTGTTATTTCGTCTGAAGGCATAGATTGGTTTTCTTCATCTTCTATTTCGGCATTTTCAGTATTTTCAAGTAAAGTTGCTACATAATATAATGATTGATTAATTTCATTACGATGCATTTTTTAGCATTGTAGGAGTAAGAAATTCTTGAAGACATTGATCAATTTTTGCGAACAAAAAATTTGTCTTTTGTTGATTTTTAATTGATGGAATTGCCAGTTGCCAAAATCTATATTCATTTTCTTTATCTTGGATATCAAGCAATCTATGAATTTCCTTTGCAAGATCGCACAATGAAACATTTGAATTGTGTAACAAACGTTTTAAACATGCATTCACAGATTCTACACGAGAACTAGCTATCTTGCCTCCTGTAAACTTAAAACTAGTAAAACAATGTGCCCAACATGTTTTGATTTATAAAGAAATTCTATGTATGTTCGTGCATTTGGATAGTTTTGTATAAGCTTATCAAACTGTTGTTGAAAGGCATCTTCAGCAAAACTATTGAGGCACTTATAGAATTCTTCAAGGAACTTTTGATAATCGTTACCCAAGGATTTTCTAAGGTTTTTGTGTAAATTTTGTGTTATATGATAGGCACAGTGAATAGGATATGTTGATTGAAAAACTTGTCGAATAGCTGCTTCGACGGCAGGATCAGCATCTGTAAATATTACAGCAGGATGAATGCCAAATGATTTTATTATTTGGCTAAACATCCATTTATGTGATTTAAAACTTTCATCTGCTAGAAGAGCTTGTGCAAGTAAAATATTATGGCGGTCATTATCAAATCCAACAAATAATGATAATGCCATTCTATATCGATTGGTTTTATGAGTAACATCATTAAAAACACAATCGGAATATTGAATCCAATTTTCTACTTGACTAGGCGTCATCCAAAGTATATGAGTAAGAGTGTTATCATCATCCCATCCTCGTGCAATTATCCAACGTGAATCCATTTCCTTTTGTTGATCAAGCCAGTTAGAAATTTTAGTTGCATCATTTGATAAAGATTTGCTGGTAGGATGAAATTTTTGTATTGCGGCATAAAGATCTTTGGAATGAATCAGGTGTGAAGGATATATTCCTTCAAGGAATTTTCTTTGCGTTGTTGCACCAAATTTACAATCCATAGTCATGAACCTTATATCTTCCATCATTGGGTCAGTAAATTTTTTTGCATCTTCAAATTCAATTATACTACGATTTAAAGTGTGATTATGATTATCTGCAAATTTGTTAATGGTTATAAGAGCTTCGGGATTATTAATCTTTGAACAAGATGCATTAATAAAAAGTGGCATTGCATTTTTTTTGTATTGGTATCTTTATTTGATGAAAAGTTATATGTTCTACTATAATTACAAATAAAAGTTCGACGACGTAATACTCCATTCTCTCGAACAACCCGATCTTTAACTATATGAAAACCTTGTACTTTAGCCCATTTGTTAATAAAGGTTTCACATGCCTCCCATGAAGTAAATTTTTTTCTAGAGAATAAGGACGCTAATTCATTCTCTTTATAAAGGATTACTTGATTATCATCAGGTGGGTATTGTACTTCGTTAAAAAGGACTGATTCTTGCATATTATCACTTATTAAATCAGTAATACCTAATGTTTAATCACTTTATCTATTTCTAACACATTAACCCGACCTTAATTTCACATTTTACACATTATGCTCTAAATTTAATAACGCACTTTGAATACTAACAAAAATGTAGATTGATTACAAAAACACACCTGCATTAACTATTGTTTCTATAGTATCAGCAATAGAAAAGTCACGTTCTTCTTTATTATTCATAGTATTAGTATATACCACAAAATTACACTGTATTTTTTTTGACTCGGTTAAAAAGTATATTTGATAAAAAAGGAAGGTAGGATAAAACGAGCAAAAAAAATGAACGAAAGTAATTGCAGTATAATTTGGTATATAAAATGCTAGAGAGACGAAAGGAAAAGGGTTTTGGAAGAAAAATAGATAATTGTACTGATAGATATAAATAATGTAACACAAAAACATATCACAACGCGTAGCACAGTCATACAAAGAATCAATCACGTAATACTAAAAAGGGGGTGGCGGTAAATCGCACCTGCGGAAAATAATAATTTCCTTGAAATATTATTCAGTTATTATGAATAATTTAAAATTGAATTAGTAATAATATATTTTAACATTTCATTATCAAATTGTAATTATTTATAAATATTTATAACTGAATAAAAAAAATCATTTTGTGGCGAAGTAATAATAATCAAAGAGAAAAGAAATTGCATTACATAACACGATATATTTTAGCATTATTGAATATTACACGAAATTCAAAATAAAAAAATTCAACCAGACGATTTTATATTTGCTTCATTCATCAATACTAATTAATACTATTATTTATTTATTAACCGCACAAATTGTTTTTAAATTAAAAATTTTTTTCATCCTGTAATGCTTGCAGATTTGCAGATTTATGAATTACTTCACTCATGAAATAAAAAATTATAAAGAATTACTTTTACTTTATATTTTAAAAACTGAAGTAAATTTATTATTTACACATAAAAATAGCAGTTACGATGTTTTTATATTAGTCCTCTACATACTAAAGCAATGAAATAAAAATGTTTAGTTTGATTAATCGTGATTTTCAAAAATTAAATACGGATAAAAAAAATTATTCTTTTATAATCTTTTCTCCAAAATTTTTATCATTCTTAAATTTTTTTTTTAAAAAAAAATAATATGCAAACTGATAATTGGATTGAAGAATATATGTCAAATAATAGTATCAAATGTTACGAATATAAACATTTTAGCAATATCCAAAAGATCAGTACAGGCAATTTTAGAAAAGTCTATTATGGAAATTGGAAAAATACAAAACAAAAAATTGCGCTAAAATCGTTAGTATAAAATCATTTAAACTAATATTTATATTTGTAATAATTTGACTCGAACTTCGGCGTGAAGTTGATTTTTATGATAATATAATCTGTTTTTGTGAAATAACTTCAAAACAAGATATAAATGTTCATTACAAAGTCTATTAAAGATATAAAGTTTATTGTTATTTTTATTTTATTTTTTAACTCATTTTTATATTTTAAAAAAATTAAATAAAAAATTAGAAAATCAAAATGATAAACTGAAAAAGTATGTTAGTAATGGAATATGATGATAACAGAACACTTAGAAACTATTTGAAGAATAATTTTGATAAGCTGATATGGGGAGATAAATACAAATTTGCACACCAATCGGCTCATGCTGTATCGTGTTTATATGAAGAAGAAATTATGCATTGTGATTTGGTAATTCTGCTTAATGTATCTTAATTTTTATTTAAAATTGCAATTAATAAGTAATAATTAATAATTAATTTTATATATAATAGCGTTCTAGTAATATATTAATTCATCAAGGTATTATTAAACTTGCTGGTTTTTGATTGTCGAAAAGTATTGAAGAGGAAAGTAAATAACAGGCAATAATCTTTAGTATTCCTCCTTGTATTATCACTTCTTTTTCGAGAACTAAATCTTTTTGGATTAATATATCACAACAATATACACTAATTGAGAAGAGTTATATCTACAATATTGGAGTGCTCTTATAGGAAATATCTAGTGGTTATCCTCCTTTTAAAGGCAAACAATATGACTTTAATTTAGCTATGGATATTTCACAAGAAATCAGAGAAAATATCCATTCCTATATACCTAAAGATTATGCAAATATTTATATTGATAATATTTTATTTTGTATTTAAATTTAATATAATATTTTTGATAATTAAATATTTTTGATTTTAGAATACTGATATAGTGAGTTAGACAATTGAACAATTATGAACAAAATAATTAATAAATTAAATGCTATAATTACAAATAAAATAGAAAATATTCAATTAATAATGATGCATCAAACCTTTAATCATCAGAGTAACAAACTAATTCTAGTATAAATAATTCATTACATGGGGACTTATCTCGAATGATTAAAAATTTTAATCAAATGAATGTAAAAGAATTAAAATTGAATAATGAAATATCAAACATTATTTATGATAATAATACTGATATTACAGATCTTAACAAAAACGTTTTAAGAGATTGCAAAAATATCAGAAATTACAAATACTTGACTGTAAAAATACTTAGATAAATAGTTTATCAATCTTATTAATGACTTAATAATTGAGAATCTTATATCTAAACCTTTTTGAAGGAAATCATGGTCTATCATTTATTTGATCAAATATAACCTTATGATAATTGGAAAGTATTTAAATTATACAAATTATCTTTAAAGAAGCTTCTTCAAATGGTTGGAATTAATTACTACTTAGCTGAATATCATTCAATCTCAATTTGAGAAGTGATTTTAAACAAATGTCTTAATAGAAGAAATATAGTCTACTGAATTTATCAAAAATAACATTTGCTGATCTGTAGTTCCTCCTGAAATTCGATTGAATAATGTCATAGGAATGGTAGTTCACAAAATAAAACATTTATTTATTAGATCTATGTCTAGGTGGACCTTATTGCCAATAATTAACAAATACTTAACATTTGAAAATAAATACACTATATCCTTATTACCTATTCTCTGATGCTTAACGAAGAGGAGTTTTTAGCATGCTTCATAAGAAAGATGTCAAAAAAAGATTATTATTTTGGGAGATGAAACTGTCTAGTTGCATAACTGGATTTAAGAATTTGATTATCCAGATTTATCAAGGTGATAAGCATATCCATCTTTATAAACTTTATCTTTCTTACTATTAAATATGTTAATCAATGTTTTGATCAAGTATTTGTAACATTTCTCGTATTGGTATAGATCCTTTGGTAATGGAATAACAGCACTGATTCTCATAAATCTACAATAACACACGTTTGCCAACTACAATTCCTTCAGAACATCATATAATTTTCTCTTTACTAATGTTTTTCGATGAAATTAATAGATTTCTTGATTTGAGAAGCATATAGTGTTATTGCAAATGTCAATGAGTATTGCATATTATCCAACCACTTGAACACTGCGAGAAAAATGGTTTCAAATTTCTGTGGTTTTAGACATAATGGATGCATGGGGAAGTAGATGTATACTATAATCTAAAAATCATTGGATTGATCATGGGAAAGGATCTATTTGAAATATAAATATAAAAATGTAAGTAGCTTTTATAAGTAAGTGTTGGATGTTATACTTACCTTGATATGGATATATTAACATCAGCGATACGATAATATTAAAGAAGAACTTTGAAGTAGAAAAGAAAATAACGAGATTACTTTCAATATTATAGGAAGCTAAACTGAATTTTCAAGACTTGTTCTGAATAATGATGTAATGAAAGCATAAAAAAGCTTGATCTTTTAAATTAAGGATGTAATATACTACCAAATCGACATGAAACGAAATCATACTCGTAATCCTGTCAAAAATTCAAAACTCACATAAATTTAACATTTCTTTATGAACGAACTAATATAATAATATGGTAGTAATTGTTGATCTATTTCTTATATTCATTATATTTGTTTTTTAGTCAAGTTATTATATTTTTTATATTTATTATTATTATTATATTTATCATTTATATTTTATTATTAGCATTTTAACTTGTATAAATATCATGTATATTTCCCTTGAGTTGAAAGATAACTCGAGATAGTGTTTTAGGATAAACCAAGTGTTCAATAAAAGGAATCATATTAATTCATTTGCTATTACTTTTGTCGTATCTTCACACAGGCGATTGTGATAAAAGTATTGTATTTAATTTGACTTATTGAATTAATGTGAATCGTTTTCTTTTGCAGTTACCAAGCCAACACCGTTAATTTTTTTTTTTTAAAAAAAAAGTTACCTTTCCATAATTCAAAATATAAACCGTAATTTTACACAAAAGAAGCTTTTATATATTTACAACTTGTTTCCCATAATAAATAAAGCATGTGGAACGAACTTTATTAAACTTGTTTACAATTTGACAAAGAAAAAATATTATGCAATATTTTTTTTTTCCTTCAAGAAATAAATACTATGTTCACGGTATGTTATTATTTAAAATTACATCATTCGTAAGTTTCAATTCGTTAATTGAAAAATAAAAATAATGTTTATATTTGAATATTACGTCGCTGCATCAATCATTTATAATGGACGTCCGGTACGTAAGCTTTTGAAGTTTCCGGCTTTTAATGGAAAAAGTA